GTCCCGTATCTCAGATAGAGCATTTTGCAATTTTTCATTTAGTTGATCTTTTTCAAGAATCAGTTAATTATTGCGTTCCTTGATTTGCGAGTAAGTGTCCATCATGGTTTGACAATCCTTCATCATATGAAAGATAGACTTTTTAGAAAAAAGATGAACTTACAGAATCAAAGGATTTAGAAGTTACCTCATCATCATCTGTTTCGTGTGCCATAAGACATAGATCTTGACTATTTGAATTGCTTGACATGCTCATTCCAAATAGTGCATTATCATCTGTAGAGCTGTCACTTTCATTGCTAGAAGATTCCTCAGACTCACTTGTTTCTAGTGGGTCACTAATAAGAGCTTTTCTTTTATCTTTCTTGTTGAATCTCCTTTCCTTGACTTTGGTTTCCTCCTGCACGGTGTTAGATTGATTTTTGCTTACCTTGGGATAAGGACATTCGGCCATAAAGTGTCCAGGCTTTCTACAGTTGTAGCATAAATTCGAATTGTCCTCCAATGTCTCCTTTTTTTGCCTTCGTGATGTGCTTGCTTTAGGAAAACTTTTGTGATTGTTTTTCCTCATGAACCTTTTGAATTTCCTGTCAAACAAAGCAAAGTTTTCGTTATTTAATAATTCACTATTATCTACTGACCTTGACGTGGACGGTTGTTCAGCAACTAGTGCGTTGTTCTTTTCATCGCGTTCTTCCTCCGTCCTTGACTTCATTTCAAACTCATAGGCTTTTAGATCACTAAAAAGCTTATCAGTTGATAGAGTCTTTAGATCTCTATGATCACGCATGGCAGTGACTTTCATGTCCCAACTTAATGGTAAACCACGTAGGATTTTGAGTGAGATTTCCTTTTGATTAATGTCTTTTCCAAGATCATTAATTTCTCCCAAGATTTTGGCAAATCTTGTTTCCATGTCGGTAATATTCTCGCCACTTAGCATTTTGAAATCCTCAAATTTCTTTAATGCTATGGTGAGTTTATTATCCTTTTCCTGTTCGTCACCTTCACCAATTTGGATGAGTGTCTCCGAAACTTCTTTTGCGGATTGGCATTTTCGGACCTTTGGGAATATCGTATCATCGATAGATTTAAACAAAATATCCTTGGCAATATTATCCAAGTTATTTCATGTTCTATCTTCACAAGTCCATTCCACTTTGGGATTTGAAACATACTGTGGAGTATCACTTGTTTGTACAGAAGCAGTGTTCACTTGCAAGATTTCAATTGGACCATTAGTGATTACTTCTCACATTTCATCATGTAGTGCAGATAAATGTACCTGCATGCGAATTTTCCAATCATCAAATTTTTCTAGAGAAAATAATAAATTTTGGGTAAGAGCCATATCTTTTTTCATCATCTTGATTTTTCGAGATCTGTCTAGCAGTCAAAATTGACTCAAATAGACAACCGATCTGATACCAACTGTTGGTATCTGTCAGAGACAATTTGACCCAAATAGGCAACCCGCTCTGATACCAATTGTTGGTCCCGATAGGGTGGTAGAAAGTCTAGAGGGGGGGGGGGGTGAATAGACTTTCTAAACCTTATCACAATTAATAACGCTTTGGTAATTTCAACTCTAAGTAACAAGATATGAAACTTAGATGCGCAGCGGAATAATTTAAACAACCAAGTGTTACGTAAAATCAAAGAGATATATCACATCCAATATGATGGATATGCTTGGTATGGCTCAAATAATAAGTATGCAAATTTATACCAACATGCATACATGAAAACTACTAGACCCAGATGAATATTTTCGCACAATATAAGATGGGTCAGTCAAATATTCAACATGCAAGACAACAAAATATTTAAGAGATGGTTCACTCAATATGTATGCAATGTCACGTGTGAATCAATGAATGATTCCAAAAGGAATTGTGTCTGCATGCACCTGGAAAGTCACATAACCCAAACAATGAGATAGATGAATAAGACGAATAGTAAATGGGTTAGTATGCATGTAATAATAAATAAAAGCAGTAAGTAAATGAGAGAGAGGCAATTTAAAGTAGTTCAGAGGTGGTGCAATCCTCCTAGTCCACTCTTCTCCTTTCACTCCAAGGAGGAAATTTACTATCTCGTTCACCCAGATACAAATAGTGAATCAAGTGCACACATGCACTTCCCGAGTGTTTTGCACACAGCTACACTCAATCCCGAGTATCTCGCACAAATCTATACTCCCGAGTATCTTGCACAAAGCTATACTCCTACACCAACTAAGTGTCTTGCACCCAGCTACACTTAACACCACCGAGCGTCTCGCACACAGCTACACTCAGCAACCACGAGTGTCTCGCACAAAGCTACACTCACGAGTGTCTTGCACAAAGCTACATTCAACAGGGTAGTGCTTGCACAAAGCTACACTCAACCCTCTTTCTACACACACTAGAGGTAAGATTTAGATAAAACAAATTTCTCTTCTAAGGACTTGAAGAATCTCTCGTGAAAGCTCAAAACTGGATATTTTGAATTTTTGCTTCTTTGTATTGCCTTTCCTTTTCTGGTTCATGTCTTCAAGTCATCTGGTATATATAGCTGAAGAAGCTATATTACCGTTGTAGAATCACTTGATCTTGATCGTCCATCTTTGATCAGCTACACATTATTGCCAACTTGCATTGCGGTGATTTAATGCAAGAGATGGGCTTCTTACAGTGAGTTTGAAAATCCTCTACTGACAAATCTTTCAAAGTCGTATATGTCGGCTCATCAGCTGAATCTTCTCCGAAAAATAATTACCTTATCTTGACGGATTCAAAATGATGAAATCTTCCAAAAGATTTTCTGATGATTCTTGCTTGAGTAAAAATTAGAATTAATTTCAGTTTTGGTCCCACGACTTTAGAGGATCTATCACTTTTGGTGCACAACTTTAAAAGTTTTCAATTTTGGTGCCTAACTTTGTTGTTTTTATCAATTTTGGTCCTTTCAACCAAATTGACGACGAAATATTGCCGGATTTTATATTTTTAGGGGTAAAATCGTCATCCCAAGGAAACATCTTCAATATCTAAACAAAATCACTCTAAAATCATATCTATAGGTGTTTGATCGATGAGAATAATTGAGAAGACGGACAGAAACTAGACACAGATCTATGAGATTTATAGCATCGACGATTGCCAAACTCTTATATTTCTCTTAACATGATTTTTCTTTTGTTTAGATATTGAATATCTTTCCTTGGGATGACGATTTTGCCCCTAAAATGTAAAATCCGGCAATATTTCGCAGTCAATTTGATCGAAAGGACCAAAATTGATAAAAATAATAAAGTTAGACACCAAAATTGAAAAAATTTAAAGTTGTGCACCAAAAATGATAGAACCTCTAAAGTCGTGGGACCAAAAGTGAAATTAGTTCTAAAAATTATATCTTCGTCTATTTCTTCTTCTGAAATGATTTGAGATGCATAGCAAGATATTTAAATGAGAAAGAAGATGTGTAGAAGAATTCACGTGCATCTTCCTTATCATGTCCACAAGCTTCCAAACTTGTAATCAATTTAGCCTTCCATGTGTCCACATTGTAGCATGCACCTAACAAGTGTCATCCTTAAAAAATATGTTTCCAATGAGATTTGAACACAAACCAACAACATATATCTCCCACACTTGTACCACTACACCATATTAACTCATTGGTTAATATTATTGGATTTAATCTTTATTCCCAGAATGACTTTAGTAGCATTTTAGATTAATTCACAAATTAATCCGAGTCTGCTTCTTGGTCGTCCCCTATCATCCCCTTCTTTATCTCTTACTCCCCTTCTTTATCTCTTACTCAAAAATGTAGAAATTAAGTCTCAAACCCATAACCTCTAACTTTAGCAACCTTGTTCTTTATCCACTTCACTGCTTCATCCTTTAGTGTCTTCTAAGGTAAATAATTCTCAAATAGTAACATTCTGGATAAGTATATTTTGCTAAGAATTCGTAGACTTTATGGCTTGACTTGGGACTTAGGCTAATAGACAACTAGACTCAAAAATAAAAGTGGGGAGTTTCTAAAAATACAAATTTGGCTCATCAAAACTATTACATTTTATTCCTAACAATTTTGCTATATGCTCATTTAATTTTTGTTAATATGCCTTTTATTTATTTAATTAAACATTTCCAAACAATAGTAACATTTCTTATTCTAACATCAATAAATTGATAAATAAGAATAAAAATTATAATAATGAATGAAATACATAAAAATACAAAATATTCGTACTTTATAATATTGTTTCTAAATTTGTAATTAAATAAAATAAACGACACATTAATAAAAATTATAGGGGTTGACATTTTGATTTGGTTTCTTTAATTTTGGTTTGCTAGCGTGGTTCTTTTATCCTCAGTTGAAATCTTTTTACAATCATCTTTGTTACATTTTTCTAGAGCAGTTGTCTTCTATCTAATGGAATAGTTGTATACTGTATTGTTGTTGGCGGAATAATATTGTTGTTTATTTGCGGGTCTCCGATTTTTCTAGAATTGTATTACAAAAATGAATTTTAATGTAGAATTGTAGTATGTAATTATTAGGTAATTATACCGTTAAGTGTTGGAATTGTAAAATTGTGTATATATTTCATAATCTCTGTACAAGTAGAAGCCCTATTTATACATAGGCTGAGAGACTACCAGCCGTAGGATTTGAAATTCAAACAAAAGACTAAGCGCCTAACTCTAACAACCCTTATTCATCTAACACTCCCCCTCAAGCTGGAGCATAGATGCCAATCATGCCCAGCTTGTTATAAATATACTCAATCCTGGCTCTACTAAGGCTTTTTGTAGGCACATCTGCCAGCTCATCACCAGTTCGAACATGAACATTAGAAAGTAGCCCTTGTTGAACCTTGTCACGCACAAAGTGACAATCTACCTCAATATGTTTAGTGCGCTCATGAAACACAGGATTACTCAAAATGTGTATAGCGACTTTGTTGTCACACCATAAAGGAACCGGCTTACTTACCTCTACACCAATCTCCCAAGAACATTACACAACCACGTCACCTCACATGCCACATGAGCCATTGCTCTATACTCCGATTCTGCACTAGAGCGGGCCACAACACCCTGTTTCTTACTTTTCCACGACACTAGGTTGCCACCAAGGAACACACAATACCCCGTTGTCGACCTCCTGTCACTCGGTGACCCAGCCCAATAAGCGTCAGAGAAGGCCTCAATGCTCACATGCCCATGATTGGCATACAAAATTCCTTTCCCAGGAGCACTCTTCAAATACTTCACAACTCGAACTGCAGCTTCCCAATGGATTTTTTCCGGATTCTCCATGAACTGACTCACCACACTCACCGGAAAAGCAATATCCGGACGAGTGATAGTAAGGTAATTTAATTTCCCCACCAGTCTCCTATACCACTCTGGATCTTCAAGAGGCTCCCTCTCACCGGCTACAAGCTTAACACTCTGGTCTATAGGAGGCTTGCAAGGCTTCGACCCTAAGAGCCAAGATTCTTCAAGTAATTCTAGCACATATTTCCGTTGTGAAAGAAATATACCTTTCTTAGAACGAACAAACTCTATTCCAAGGAAGTACTTCAATACGCCCAGATCTTTTGTATGGAATTTCTTTTTAAGAAATGATTTGAGCGCATCAATTCCCGTTGCATCACCACCTATGATCACTATATCATCCACATAGACAATTAACAAAACGCTGCCACGGTTAGAATGTTTATAAAAAATAGTGTGATCATAGGCACTACGTTGCATGCCAAACTCAGTAACAACACTACTGAACCTCCCAAACCACGCTCTAGGAGATTGTTTTAACCCGTACAAAGACTTCTTCAACTTAATCAAATAAAAATACACTTTCAAATATTAGAATTGTTTATAATTTAATCTTTAATTTTGTTATCTAAATATATAATAAAAATTTTTATCCGTGTATCGCACTGGTAACTAAGCAATTATTTGCTCGAATTCAATCAAGGATAACATCAGAAAACATATTTGATCCAACCCATTTCATCATTTGCACTATTTAATATTCGTTGTTATAATTATATAATTGTATCGATCTAAATATTTTTAAAATATTATAACAAATCAATTTCGTGCAACGCACGGGTGAAATACTTGTTGAATGTAATTTGAGAAAACTCTCCTAACACATATGTTTATATTTAAATTATTTTATTTTATTTTATTTATATAGAAATAGAATTGTAGCCCGAGATAACCTGGGTTCGATTCCCACAAGTGACGATTCCCTCTAGGCCAGCTTCAGTGCCTCTCGGAGCGAACCGGGTGAACCTGGACCGTTAAACGGACAGAGAAAGACCCGGACCACATTGTGGTTTACATAAAAAAAAATAAAAGAATTGTAGTCAAGCACATTGTTCTCAGATGATACCTCTATGGTTCCCTTTGAGGAAAGGTCACAGGATTGAACCCTGTAATAGAGTCAATAGTGTTAAAAAAAAAGATACTACCTTGTAATAGAGTCCATCTTTATCTTTATCTTTATCTTTATCTTTATATCTTTATCTTTATCTTTATATTAAATATAATAAAGTAGAATCTAGCCACAAAATTTTCCCTCCAAAGTGTGAATGCACTTGGATAGAAACAAGATTATTAGCAAGTATTAATGCATTAATTGTGTGGGTAGATGTATTTATACATATTTTTTTTGAAGTTATTATGTGTATTTATATTTTATAAATTATACTTTATTATTATTATTATTATTATTATTATTATTATTATTATTATTATTATTATTATTATTATTATATCTCTATCTCTATCTCTATTAAAGCATATTGAAGTATGGAAAAAAGTTTATTGTGTTCAAATTTTTTGGTAAAGTTTTATATTTAATATAATTTGTGTATATATTCATTTAAACCTCAATTATAATTAGTTTGACTCCACATATATAAAGAGGATAAATATATAAAATAAATATAGTTCTTACATAAATAATCTTTTTCAAATGAATAAAATTTTGGTGGAGATTTTTGACAAATATTACCTGTTATTTTATTTACAAGTTTTATTTAAATACGTTAGTTATATAATTAAAGTAGTTATTTCAAATTCAAATTCAAATTCAAATTCAAATAATAATACAAGTAACAATAAATTTTAAAATCAACGTAATAATAACATAATTAAACTTTTAAAAATATTAAATATTACATTGTATAGTTATACTTACATTTTTAATAAAACTAATTCTGAGTTCAAAAACTCAAGTACGTTTTTCTGTTCCACAATCATTACTTTCTTTAGTAAATTTGTTAAATTAATAATAGTTCATGCATCGTACGATACAATTACTAGTAGTATTAAAAAAAAAAAAAGGAAATAGAATTGTATTTTAGGAAAAAAAAAAATGGTGGGAATAAGTTTTGGAGGTTTCCGGAGACCGCATTAGAACAAAGTTATAAACTTCAAATGTTGAAGACTTGAAGGTGTGAAGTTTCTGGTGAAAAAAAGTTGTCTGAGTTTTGACTTTTGACTCCCGCTTTTATTAGTGGTCCCTAAAACCCAGCGAGCGAATATTTAGGCCGCGACTATTTATTCGCCACACCAAACTATTCCCACCTTTCAAACCCTAACACCCACTCTCCTTCCATCATCACCCAGCTCAGGTTAGTTGATTTCCACTTCTTTGTGGTTTCACCTGCTCAATTCTTTTCTTTTCTTTCAATTTTCTGTTTAATTTCTCTTTATGAAATTTTGCTTTGTTAATTCTTGTTGATGATTGATTATCTTTCATTAATTTCAAACCACTGACTGCTTTCTGCTTAATTAATCGCGTTTTCTGGTAATTCACGGTGTGGTTTCCATTAATTTCTCATGATCGATGCTTCTTGCTGCTTGATCGCGATTTGCTTGGAATTTCATGGATGATTTCGTTAATTCCTCATGTTGTATTTTTTGCTTTGCCTTCAGTTCTAGCGATAGCTGATCTTGGAGGAGATATAAAGACTATAACTTACATACAGGTAACAGGTATGGCTTTCTCCATTAATATTTTGCAATTATATGGATGCTTGTGCCTATGTATGTTTACAGGTTTTTTGTGTAATTGATAGAATTTGAAATATGATTGCATAATTCTAGGGTGCTTTGAGTATTCAATTTTATTTTATGGAAGTGTAAGTTCCTGGTACTGATGTGCCTAATCAAGCTTGTGTTTGTGTTGTGGCTTTTAGGGGTACATGCACTGTATAGCTTGTGGTATCTTTGTGCTTGAGGCTTGAACTTGGTGTTTGACTTATATTCACTTGTGCACAGAACAGATGAAGTGTTTCTACAGTTTTTAGGCCTATTCATTTTCTACTTTTAGGTGTTTCTGGTGAGAGCAGTACCTTTTGGGTTTAGGAAATCAGTGATTTCATCAAAATGGTTTATGGAACATTCAGAACATGGGCTGTTTGCGAGTAATTATTTTAGAAAGGGTTTCAGTGGTAATTTACAAATCCAAATTCAATTGTGAGGATGGATTAGACATGTGCTTTTTTTCCAAGTTAGCTGTCACAGTATGGAGAGACACTCTGATAATTAGAGGATTTCTGAACCCAGGGATGACTGCTTTTACGTTGAGATGAACTTAGAGTCACTGTCCTCTTTTGGAAATTGAGTGTAAAGCTTTGCCCAATTTCAAGGTTATAGTCAAAGCTGTCCTCTTTTTTCTTTCTTTACTTTAATGGGTGTTAAGAGTTAAGTTATTGGTAAGTCACCCTTATTTCATATCACCAATATAAAAGAAGTTGCATGATATATTTCTTATTTGTATTCGTTGTTTGCTTGTTTCTTTCTATGTAAAAGTTCACGTCTGAAGGTGGAACTTTGTCCTCTGTTCTTTATTTCCTGCCAATATATATATAAGTAATGTTCTCTGTGTTTGCATTGATTTACATTTCTGAAATTTGCATTTTTGCTATTTATATTTGTTTTTTCTTAATCATGTGAGATTTATCCAGCATATTGTTGTACTTTTCTTACAGAAATGACATTATTCTTACTGTTTATTTTGATCCATCTTGTACCTTCTTCTTAAAGACCTAATCAACCACATTACTTTGTTGTACCTGGCTCAGTGACTAAAATATCCAAGTTTCGAAGCTAGTACACTTGCTTGAAATGGATCATCAAGGAAATGGGCAACCACCAGGTATGGGAATTGTGACCAGCTCTGGTGCTGCGATGGGATATGGAGCTCCTTCATATCAATCAAACCAGATGACTGTGTCCATTCCTGCTGCATCTCCCGGTGCTATCCAATCCCCTCAAACCGTTGGGCTTCCTACCTCCTCTGCTCAGCTTGCGTATCAGCACATACAGCAACAGCAACAACAACAGTTGCAGCAGCAACTTCAACAGTTTTGGGCAAATCAATACCAAGACATCGAGCATGTTGCTGATTTCAAGAACCATAGCTTGCCATTGGCTAGAATTAAGAAGATTATGAAGGCGGATGAGGATGTTAGGATGATATCTGCAGAAGCACCAGTTGTTTTTGCTCGGGCATGTGAGATGTTTATCCTTGAATTGACATTGCGTGCATGGAACCACACCGAGGAGAATAAGAGGAGGACACTCCAGAAAAATGACATTGCGGCGGCCATCACAAGGACTGACATCTTTGACTTCTTGGTTGACATTGTGCCAAGAGAGGATTTGAAAGACGAGGTGCTTGCATCTATCCCTAGAGGGACTCTTCCTGTTGGAGGTCCTACTGATGTTCCATACTATTACATGGCACCACAGTCTGCTTCGCAGGTAGGAGCCTCGGGGGGGATGTACATGGGTAAGCCTGTTGACCAAACTCTTTATGGACAGCAGCCCCGTCCCTATATGGCTCAGACAATGTGGCCTCAGCAACAACAGCAACCTCCATCAGATTCTTAAGCATCAATGGACCATGATGAAAGATGTGAGTATTCATTCTATGAGATAATAGTTAGTGCTAGTCAAAATTATAACCGACCTTGTGGGGATTTAACATATTTTACTTGCGTTCAATACCATGATAAATATAATGAAAACACTAGTATATATGCTGTGTATGTATTGGCTTAAAGTTGTTTATCTCATGCTGCTGCAAATTAGAATTTCTCCGATTGACTTATTATCTAGTATCTACACTACAGTGAACTAATCTATACTTCTTCAACACGGCACTTGCAGAATGTACTCTGGGAGGGATTATATGTGTATGCAACAAACAGTATAATGGAGATCTCATTCACCCCAGAATAAACTGCCTGCCACATAATACAACTCTTGATACATACAGGATAACATTTGAAGAACCAAGTGTGTGTTGGTTCTTGTTTTTTAATACCTGTACTGCTGCCTGCCTGTCTGGATGCAATGAATTATGCATTATGCATTATGCACTTTCATTATATTTTCAAAAGAATGCTAAATTTGTGATGTGTTGTGAGTTTGAAGTAGTGCACAGGTTTATCTTTAATTGATGATACTACTACTTTAAAATTTAAATAGATGGGTGGATATATTTAAAAATTTTGGACCATATCTTTAATTAAAACTCATAAATTTGAAGTGAATAATATATCTGAAATTTTGAAATCCCACTTTTGTAAGCCAGATTCCAGAGATAACCATACCGGCAGCGCTAAATTATTATTCACTATAACATACTTAGGGGTAGAGCAGTTGAAACAGGCCGGTGGACCAAGACTCGTCAAAGCCTGTCAATAATATGAGCTTAAGGGAGATGGCAAATTATGCTATGGAATGTGTCTAAGGTGGATACAGTTCCAAAATTGTTATAATTGTAAATATAGAGTTCAAAAATTATAAACATAGAGTTCTATAATTATGAACATAAAGTTATCAACATAGAGTTCTATAATTATGAACATAAAATTCTGTAATTGTGAATATAGAGTTCAATAACTGTGAATATGAAATTCAAAAATTATAAATATAGAGTTTTATAATTATGAACATAAAGTTCAGTAATAATGACATATAGTTTTGTAACTGGGAATATAGAGTTTAATAATTGTGAATATGAAGTTCAAAAATTATAAACATAGAGTTTTATAATTATGAACACAGAGTTCCGTAATTATAAACATAGAACTGTGTCCATATTGTAAGGTGGATCGGTTCCACGATATAACAATTGAAGGGAGATGGGGGGTCACCAAAACCAATCGTTATACCCTGCACCACGGCGCGCATAGTACTGTGCGCCCCGCGCCTCCCAAAACGACGTTGTTTTGGTAAATTATGTAGGGAGTTGACGCGATTATGTGTATTTGTTTATAAATTATGTGTATTTGTTTATAAATTATGTGTATTTATTTATACAATTATGTGTATTTGTTTATACAATTATATGTATTTGTTTATACAATTATGTACATTTTTTTTATACAATTATGTACATACGAAACAGGAAATTTATGTGTATTATGTTAAGAGTTGATGTTTATTATGTTAAAATTCATGTATACAATTATGTGTATTCTAGTATAAAATTATGTACATTTTTAAACATAATTTTTTTTTTAAAGAAAATTAACCGCGAACACAGGGTAGCGAAATTTCTTTTTAAAAAAAAAAACAAATCTGAAACGATGTCGTTTTGCATCAAGGCGCACAATGAAATGCGCGCCCTGATGCAGGATATAAATTGCCCACCAAAACCCGTCAATAATATGGGGGCCTAAGAGAAATCACCCCTTGCCTTAGGCCAATAAGCCTTTGCGTGGGTCGTCGTCAAATTATTGCAATCGTTATACCCTACACCGCCGTGCACATAGCACTGTGTGTTGCGTGCCTCCCAAAACGACGTCGTTTTAGGAGGCGCGGTAGGAAGTTGCTGAGATTATGTGTATTTGTTCACACAGTTATGTGTATTGGTTCATACAGTTATGTACATTTTTTATACAATTATGTAAATTCTTTTTATACAATTATGTACATCCGAATCAGAAAATTTGTGTGTATTATGTTAAAAGTTGATGTGTATTATGTTAAAAGTTTATGTTTATTATGTATTATGTTAGATTATGTGTATTATCTTTTAAAAAGAGTGTATATTTTGTTATATAATTATGTACATTCATGTATACAATTATGTGTATTCTAGTATAACATTATGTACATTCTTGAACAGCGAGTTTTTTTTAAAGAAAAAACTATTGCCATTCACTGGGGCGGGAAATTTCAAAAAAAAAAAAAAAAAAAAAATTAAAACGACGTCGTTTTGTATCTGGGCTCATAGTGCAACGCGCGCCGTGGTGTAGTATATAAATTGTCAAATTATTGTTAGGACCATGGTCCATATAATTGTGTGGATCATGAATATAATGTACATTTTTAATTTACTAAAAGTACATTATTTTTGTACTGAGGGTACAATATTTGATAATATATATAAAATAATGTATTTTCAGTACTCAAATAATGTACTTTTAAAAAATATATTTTATATACACAAATAATATACTTTTAGTATATCAAAAATGTACTTTTTTATTTGTGGTCCATGTAATAATGATTGTGGATCGTCAAATTTTAAAAGTTATAAATTTTATTAAAATAATTTAGATAGTTTAAATGTATATTAATGCATTTGTAATTTGTTAAACACAATAGTAACTAATAAAGTAATAAATCCTAATAATTAATTAAATAATAATGTTAATTCATAAATTAATAACAAATTATTTATACAATATATTTTCTTCGTCTCATTTTACGTGTCAGGACTAAAATTATTTACTATTTAATTTTTCATAATATTAAGCTTAGAATTATGTAAATTTTATATTTAAAATCTACACTAGAAGTACTATTAAACACAAAAAATTTAATTTTAAAATTATAAGAAAATTCTAATAGAAATAAACAAAGAAGAAATAGTTGTAATGGAGATATTGGAAACGGCCCAATAATAGGAACGCGGGGTTCAGGCGTGCATAACCTGAGCATCTCTAATAGAGTCTCAAACCCGGAGCCCGTCTCCGGTCCCAAAAAAATGGGCCATTGACTTAGTCTTACAGTCCACGAAAAATTATATCGTGCACCGCGGTGCATAATTGATTATGCACAACGACGTCGTTTTGTTTAATGAAAAGAAACGGCATCCGTTTCCCGACATTCCGCACCCTTCCGCAAAAAGTAACTCTGTTATTCGGTTTCATTTTATATACACTGCAATTTCGCTTCAACACAACTACAGTTTCAATTCGATATAACTACAGTTTCAATTGATATTTAAAGACTCAAATATGTGAAAATGTTATTTAATTTTATTTTATATACATTATAGTTTTATTAAAACACAATTACATGATTATTTGATATAATTACAGCTTCATTGTATAATATACACTCAAATATGTGAAATGTTATTCAGTTTCATTTTATATACACTGCAGTTTCATTTCACCACAACTACAGTATCATTTTGATATAACTGCCGTTTCATTTGATAATATAAAAATAATACGTGAGGCAGTGTCGATTTAGATATACTGTAGTGTCAGTTAGTAATTAAGAAACGGTGCCGTTTTGACCGCGGTCCACGATATAACGACCCTCAATCCACCAGCCGTTATATCATGGACTGCGGTGCACGTGCACCACGGTCAAAACAGTGCCATTTCTTTAAGTAAAGAAACGGCGCGCCGTTATATTTAACGGAGCGCGCATATTTGGTGTATTAATTATCAACTAACACTACAGTGTATTTAAACCGATACTGCCTCACGTATTATTTTATATATTATCAACTGAAACTGCAATTCAATTGAATGAAGCTGTAGTTGTGTTGAAATGAAACTACAGTGTATCTAAACTGACACTGCCTCACGTATTATTTTTATATTATTAACTGAAACTGCAATTGAATTGAAATGAAACTGTAGGTGTGTTGAAATGAAAATGCAGTGTATATAAAATGATATTGAATAACATTTCACATTTTTGAGTGTATATTGTGTAATGAAGCTGTAGTTATATCAAAATGATCATGTAGTTGTGTTTTAATGAAACTATGGTGTATATAAAATAAAATTAAATAACATTTTCACATATTTAGGTGTTATAATATCGAATGAAACTGTAGTTATATTAAAATGAAACTGTAGTTATATTGAAATGAAACCACAGTGTATACAAAATGAAACTAAATAACAGAGTTACTTTTTGCGGAATGGCGCGAAACGGAGCGAAACAGATGTCGTTTCTTTTCATTAAATAAAACGACATTGTTTTGACGCGTGGTGCATAATCGATTATGCACTGCAGTGCAGAATATAATTTGCCCTCAGTCCACCGTATGGGCCTTGACTTAATCTCGTAGCCCACCACAAGTTTAGCTTAAGAGTTGAGATTTCCTTTGTATAAATTAGTTATGTGCAGTTATTGCAATATTAGGTCTTATTCCCTTACAGGACATCACTTACTATATTCAATATCATTTACACATTCATGTTCCTTTCTTACAATACATTTTTTTTAATCTTCTTTCATCAATCAAGGAAATATTAATTCTATTATATTATCCTTACTATTTTCATTTATTCTTCCCAAACATACTATTTTCGTTCATTGTTATATTTTATGTGAGCTTATTGATCTGTATAATTACATATTAGTTTTCTTACGTGCTTTGTACGAATAGAATAATGCCCAATAATTATTTTTAAATAAGTATTTCAAAGTATATCAATACAATATTATATAGGAGATGTTCATGCGTAGGTAAATAAATGTTGAATTTGTTTATTTAAATCAATGCAAGATAATATATGAGAGATTGATGATAATTGTCACTAAAATAAATGTTTGCAACTTTGTAAAAACGCTAGTCTAAATACTTAATCTAAAAGCGATAGTCTAAATAAATACTCGTACTACTTTTGATTTAAATTTCTCTAATTCTCTTTCGTGTAGCATTATCATTATCTTCATCTTCAGTACATGTCATTTTTTTTTATTGGTAGTGTGTCATGTGCAATTGGGTTACTAGTGGTAGCATAGAGGGATACATCGTGCAATGAGATTATAGTGTAGGAAGGTTTAAATTTGTCATGCTGTGTATATGACTGTGATCTTAGTTTTACTATGAACTCTTTATTTTTACATCGTGCAATGAGGTACGTGTAGCCGCCATAGCCTGCGCCATTCTCCATCGACGGTGTTCGCAGGGTTCCTTACTATTATGTCGTAAGCTGATCGAATCGAGAACCTCCCATTGAGTTCCGGCCCCCAGCCTATTTCATTAGGCAAATGCTCCTCCGCTAGAACGAAGCTTGCGATCCTTTCTTTTGTCGCTGTCGGCAAAGTGTTTTCCAGGCACTCCCACTTCCATCCTCGAGTCTCATCCCAAATGTCCCTAATGTTGGCATAAAGGTCGGGAAGGGGGAGCGAAATACAAAGCTGTTCATACAAAGGCTCTGGCGTGATCCACATGTCCATCCAAAACTTGGTAGTCTTGCCATTCCGAGCAATGCGTGTCAGCCCTTTTTCCAAAATTTCCCAAGCTGCGGTGATGCCTCGCCAAGCGTTCGAGATTCTGCGTCTGCCTAGCGGTTCATCGTGAGCTTCCACAGGTTTCATGTACTTCGTGCTTAGCATCTGTACACATAGGTTGTCCACCTCTTTCTTGAGACGCCATCCTAGTTTTTCCATATATGCCATATTCATCTCGTTGAGGCGCTTAACCCCCAAGCCACCCGCGTCCTTCGCAGTCGTAACTAGCTCCCAATTCGCAAGACTCATTTTGCTTTCTGTTCCGGTGCCGCCCCAGATGAATCTCCTCGTCCTCTTCTCAATTTCCAAACAAATACTTTTGGGAAGGGCTGTTGTTTGCATGTTGTAGATGTGAATAGCGTTTAGCTCTGATTTCGCCAAGACCACCCTTCCCGCCATGGACAAGGTCTTCGCTTTCCACCTTTCAAGTCGCCCTGAAATTCTGTCAAGCAAGTCCGAAAATGTATTGCAAGTAACCCGGTCGTGTAGAGCTGGTACTCCCAAGTACTTGCCCAGATCTTTGGTGCTAGCTATGCCAAAACGACTAGCGATTTCATCAGTAAGTCCAAGATCCGTGTTTTTTGAGAAAAACACCTGGGACTTGCTCAAGCTGTCTTCTGCCCAGACGCCTTGCAGAACCGGTCCAGACAATCTTCCACTACCTCTACCTGTTCGGTCGACGCCTCCGTGAAGAGGACCATATCATCTGCAAAACAAAGATGTGTTAGAATGGGACCATTTGGCGCAAGCTTAATACCTCTCCAAATGTTTCTACCGACTTCGGGGACGATAAATTGGCTAAGTCTTTCCATACATAGCACAAAGATAGCCGGTGACATTGCATCGCCATGTCTGATGCCCCGTTCCGGACTGAAGGGTTCCATCCGCTCCCCATTCCAAATAACTGAAAGCCTAGATGTTCGAATGCATGTCATCATCAGGTCCTTTACATGCGCAGTAAAACCGGCTTGTTCGAGGGTATCCTAAATGAAATTCCAGGACAACCGATTGTAAACTTTTTCAATGTCCAATTTAATTGCCATACAGCCTTTCACCCCACGTTTATCTTGCATGTTATGCATGATTTCCTGGAAGATGAGTACGTTATCCGAGATCTGATGTCCGGGGACAAAGGAGCTCTAGAAAGATCCCACGATCTTAGGAAGAATGAGCTTGGGCCTGTTGGTAATTGTCTTGGTGATGATCTTGTAGCTAACGTTGCACAGACTAATGGGTCTGAATTGTTTAATATTCTCTGGGAACCGGACTTTAGGGATCAGGGCAATGAGAGTGTCCTTTAATCCGTCCGGAAGGGTGTCCGTCGTGAACGCCTCTCTAACAAGACTAAAAACGCACTCTCCAGTCGTATCGCACATGTGTTGATAGAAGCCTGCGTGGAAACCATCTGGTCCCGGTGCTTTGAACGGCTTCATGTCCTTGAGGGCATTATGGACTTCCTCCTTTGAGACTGGTCTATTAAAACACGCCCAATCAATGTCCCGTAAGCGGGGAAATTTGCAGTCATCTGAACATTCCTGTCTCCGTCTGCCTCTTCCGAGAAGAGCTGAACATAGTAATTTCGAATGTGTTCCTGTACCTCATTCCCTCTCGAGAGCCACACGCCATTCTCATCCATGAGCCTATGAACGGAGTGACTTGCGGACCGTAGCAGCTCCGTGGAATAGGCAGTATTTCTATTCCCATAACTTATCCATTCTTCTCTGGACTTCTAGAACCAAATAAGTTCCTCCTGGTGTAAAATGTCCTCCAGATTCTTTCTGAGCTTCAACTCAAGCTTCGCAAGACCTCTATGATAGTTGACCGCCAAGGACTTTTGAATACCACTCAGTCAGGCCATAAGGATCCTTTTGAGTTTAAACACGTTACCAAAGGATTCTTTATTCCAGATGCCCAACTCGTTAGCAAGGTTTCGAGTGTTCTCCAGAATGCTTCGATCAGACCTCCAGTACCGCTCAACTACTCCGTGAACCTCCGCATGGGTGAGCCAAGCCGCTTGGAAGATGAACAGCGCTGGTGACAACTTCTGCCGCTCCCCGTCTGCCTATATTAACAAAGGTGCATGGTCAGAAGCAATTCGCGCTAAATGCGTAACGCACGCACCTGGGAACCTGGTCCGCCAATCTGTGTTGCACATGGCCCGATCCAGACGGGCTCCCTTAAAGGTTTCGTTGGTCCCGTCCCTGATCCAGGTGAGCTTTGGTCCCAAAAAGCCCATATCAATGAGCCCCTCATCTTGAATCCAGTTCAAGAAGTCCGAACTTCTATGTGATGAGAAGGAACTGTAATTGCTCGTCTCATCTCTATTAAGGACCGAACTGAAGTCCCCGGCTACGAGCCAATGTCCTACGATACCCCGTACCAGGGCCAGAAACCACGGAGGCTGATTATTCGTTTCCACCTGCAAAAGAATGAACTGGGGATGAGTAAAACAAATCGTAATCTGCACCGGGTCCTTCCGGAAGACCCAGATGCCGCCACTGAAGCCCACGACCTCCACTCGAATCTAGTCCGAGAAACCAAGTTTCGTGTAAATTGCGTTTGCATGATCACCAGAGACCTTCAGCTCGAAAAGACCCAAGATGCATGGTCTGTACATCTTGAGGATTTGTTTAAGGGCGCGTAGGAACGGCTTGCCACCCGCACCCTGACAATTCTAGAAAATACAATCCATAAAAACAACAAAGAGGGGAAAAACCACAACACAAAGCAAAAACAATAGGAAAAAACACGCAAGCGAGGCGCTCATTGAGCTCCCCCATTACCTCCAGTCTCTCTCTACAATGGGGTCTCATTTAGGTCCATAACCACGTCACCTTCATCATCCACATGCTCCCGCGGGTCTCCGTGGTGCTCTTTTGTTGGTTGCCATACCGGCGAGGGTAATGTGCTACCAGTGTCCCCCACGTACACCCACGAAGACCGTATCACCAAGCCGCCCCACGCACCCCGGACAACAACATGTTCGTCTTCCTCCGCCGCCCGCCTGGAACTTCCACCATTCTCCCGTCGTACTCTGGGCATGGGAGCCCCTGTGCCGGACTTTGCCCCCTGTTCCACCGTAGGCTCATTCACGACTTGTTTCTTCTTTGCTATAACGTTTGGTCTCCGGTTTCTATCTCCCCCGTTGTCGGCATCTGACTCCTTCTCGTTGCTGTTCTGTCCGCCGCCCCAATCATTGGTGCTTGCCCTTCCTTTGCTGCCTCCCTTGGCTTCTCTGCACTCACGTGCATGCCTCCCCCGCGACCTCATCATTATCCCCATTAGTCAATGGCGCAAACCTGGACACTTGTGCCACAGCTCCGTTTTTGTTTCTGATTCCTTCCCCTCGGCCATTCGCTAGTTGAAGGTTGCGGTCAGTTGCCTTCATCGGAGGCCTACCACCCCGTTTAGGAGCAATCATCCAAACACCAAAAGGGATCATGGGATCCCTAGCCTCTTTGGTCGCGTTGTGTGTTTGGATCGCGGTGGATGAGACCTCCCCCTCGTTCTGATTCGCCTTGTCTTCCTCCACATTGTCTCCTTGCTCAGCCACCGATTTTCGAAGCAAAGGGCAGGCCTCCTTCGCATATTCATAAAACCCGCAAGAAAAACATACCAGGTGTATGCCTTCATACGCCATGTGCCTGACTTTCTCCTTGTAAGTAAACTTTGAAATTAGAGGCTTCCTCATGTCAATCTCCACACAGATCCTGGCAAACTTGCCTCGAGAGACCAGGCTAGTGGCTTGATCGACCCGCACTATCCGCCCAATTCGATTCCCTAGTTTCCTGAATAAAATAATGTCATAGTACTCAACAGGTATACAAGGAATTCTTACCCAGACTAGCACCATCTCCGTGTCGTCGTTCATTGGATCGAAGTCTGGCTCCCACGGCTTTACGATCAAATAGTGATCCAGCACCATCCAGGGGCCTTCGTACATTGCAAATTCCATGTCATTTTAATGGATCCAAACTGCACCAGAAAATAATCATTGTCTAAGGCGATCAAATCCATACTAGCTTTTGGTTTCCACATTGCCGTCAAACGCCAAAGCAAATATGCGTATCCAACCCCTCTTCTCATCACCTTGATGATTAGTGCCTTTCTCTAAGAAGCCCAAATCATCTCCACCTCCTTCTTGGTCAATTTGATTGTGGGACACAAGGGGGTCGTGGTCTTCCTCCGCAACGATGTCCTCGTTGTCGTTCTCATGATCCGATAGGTCCGGTTGAAGCGTCAGGCCAGCCCTGCTCCTTCCAGTCACGCTCTCTGCATATGTCCGCCTAGGCGCCGCCGGCGCCTTGGTCGACGCGGGCGCCACCGATGGCGATGCCGTTGCATCCACCCACTAATCCGTCGACGAAGCCACCTCGCCAGTTGTCACCATTACATCCATCGACGTTTCTTGCACTATCTCCACCTCCTCTGCCATCCTGACGTCCAGGCTTCCGATCGTCACATGCTCCTCATGCCCTGCCACGTTCCGCTTAGATTTCTTCGTGCTTTGTTCCAAAAGATCGTGATCTTCGGATGATCGCTGAGACGAGAAGTTTTCCTTCCTCCGACTTTTCGAAATGTGTAATTTTATGATTCCTTATAAAATTGTGATTTAATAATATTTTGTGGTAGTTAAATAAAATCCTCATGTACTTTTGAATTTTGATAGAATAAAAAGTATAACTATTCTTCTGCCAAAATATAACTATTCCAAAATGAGAAAGTTTAATTAGATAAATTGGAAATGCATGTGATTTTGTTTTTGGAATCAAAGATGTAAATAGTAAATACAGATGAATTGGCACATGCTCGGCTGAATCGACAGAAGCTTAAGCCCTGCTAAACGCGGTTCTTCTTGCAAAATCTTTACGGTTGAGGCAGGTTTGTTTTGAAAGTGACTCAATGAGGGTCATTGATGCAACTAACAAAGGAGCTACCGTCGACAATGTAGCAAATAACATTCTGCATGCATGCAAGCGAGAACTTGGAAGCTTTGCTGCTTGGAACTTCTTTTGTGCCTAGAGATCAGAATAAAGTTGCTGACCAACTGGCCAAAATTTCATTAGGGAAAAGAGGAACCACAATACTGGACGTCCCCGGGCAACCTCGAGTTAATTCTAGAAGACTGAAGAGGATAGGTTTGCCTTACCAGTTTGGCGCCAAGTTGATACTTTATAGTTGTATTCTTTGGGTGTTCCACTTCCAGTATCATTCCAAAAAGAAGTAAATGCAGATTAGGAGTGACCTACTTTTTCTTAACAAAATTATTTTCATCCAAGACATCTCTTAAATTAATTTCCTCAAAATTCTTTTAAATATAAGAAAAATAACACTATTTTTCTCCCTGAGTTATATATACTTATACTACTTTTCCCCCTGAATTATTCAAGTGGCAGTTTTTTTCCTGAATTGTTAAATGGACATATTTACGCTTAAAATAAATATTTCATTTATTTTCATTCTCCAATAAATTATGACCACGATTTGGTTCAAATCGAACAGACACTATAGCAACCAAACCGAAATATTCCAATTACAATTTAGAATCGAAACTCGATATTTAGAGTTTATTAAAATCATGAACGGAATGGCCGGTTCATGTTCCGAACTGAAAAAAATAAAATACATTTATTGTTGAATTTAGACTATTTTAAAAATAAAAAATAAAATTTTAAAATAAAGTTTGAACCAGCAGTTCAAACTGGATTCTGAACCGTGAACCGGCGGTTCAAAATCAAAACCAAATCGCGGTCATTTATACTTATATGTGAGAATAAGAATAAATATAAAAAAGAACATACACTATTTGTAAATATTATAATTCTAATTTTAAACTAATGCTAGTAGTTGTTCCAATTCGAACCGTCGGTTCACGGTTCAGGATTCAATTTTTTCGATTCATGATTTTAATAAACTGAAATTCAAATATTGGGTTCTGGATTTGAATCATAACCAGAAACTTTCAATTCGATTGCTATAGTGTCTGGTTCAATTCGAATCGAACCGTGGTAATCCCTACGTATAAGCAATAATTTGTTGGAGAAGAAAAATTAATTAAATATTTACTTTAAGGGTAGAAATGTCAAATTAATATATTAGGGAGAAAAAATCGTCACTTTTAGAATAATTGAGGGGCTAATATGCTTACCTGAATAATTCAATAGAAAAATGTGCTATAAACATATAATTCAAGAGGAAAAAGTGTCATTTTCGCTTTAAATATTTAAAAATATCACATTACCTAATTAAGAAATATTATGTCTTTACTTGATTTCCAAAAATATGAGATTTGTGACTATATGATTTTGTAGTTCTCTAGTATTACATTTTCTCCAAATTCTTGAATAACGCAAAATGTTAGATGATATGATACGAGATGATGTGATAATCTAAACCAAATTCACCCTTAATGTACTGTTTTGCTAATAGGCATCCCAAGGCACTACTAGTTATTCACACATTATCAATTTTTATTTAAAAAAAAAAAAAAACAATGAAATAGATAGAAATGACTAGCTTTAGTGATTGAAACACAATTTAACTGAAACCTAAAAATTTAATATATTTATTTTATTGACACTTGCAGAATGTACACCGATATACAAATACTTTAGAGAACTTATAAAACGTTGAAATAAATCCCAATATTCTATGATTTAATAAAGTTTCAAATAGGTTCGGTGGGGCTCTCCAAATTAATATTAGAAATGGCTAGCTTTAGGGTCACCTAATTTTTCAGTAGTTCATTATGGAGTAGCCTTCACTATCCAACTATCCAACCAACCCATGATATTAATTAATATATATATATATATATATATATATATATATATATATATATAACATGAATTGAAGGCTACTGCAAAATAGGTAGTCCGTATGTTAACAGAAGCATTGACATTTCAGGCGAATTTAGTGTAGTTAAGCTGACAAATACCTACAATGGTACCTCTGTTAGTTGTCTTCAACAATATGATATTTGTAATAACTAATATGTCAACTAGATTTCTGTTTCTATAACTAATACAATCATTGTCTCTCTCATGTTTCTTTTTCAATCTTTCTATAGTACAATGCCTATTGTAAAATACATAAAACTAATCCTAACCTCTAGTGTCCCACCCTAAGAAGGGAGCCCAAGATGTTTGAGGTGGGGTTTGAACCCCCACTCTACCATCTCCTATCATAACTTGAGGCCAAGTGATCAACTACTATACTAGCTCCAGGACTACAATACCTATTATTTCAAAATGCATTATATATATAAACTTTACTTGGTCCTTTATACCTAACACCTACAATAAAACCACAAATTATATCATGGACTATGGTCCATTATATATTATTATAATAATATTGTAATTTCATTACAAATTTAAATGGATCAAAATGAGTGTTGATTCATTATAATAATATTGTAGGTTCTTTAAAATAAATAATATCAATTTGCCAATTATCACTTAAGCATATTAGTCACTACTTTTTGTATGAATAGAATTAATGTTAAAAATTATATTATAAAAAATATCTCATTGGATCTTTGACATGACACGCATATTAATATATTTCTTCAGTATTTCGTTTCAATATTTGTGTGATTAAGTTATAGTAGTGATTTAATGGATCTAAAGTCTTGATTTATGATTATATTTAATTAGTAATTACTTAGAAATTAGTGTGTTTTTTATTTGAGAATTAGTTGTTTACTAATAGACTCGCTCGATAAAATGAACTTGTCATATTGTTAAAATAAAACTCATGTATTCTCTTCATGATCATGTTTTACGTCCTTCAGTATTATGTTATAGTTCTATTATTATTATTATTATTATTATTATTATTATTATTATTATTATTATTATTATTATTATTGTAAATATGAACTTTCAGTATTATATAAATGAATCTATTTTAATATTGTAAAAGTGAACCCATTAGTATTGTGGAAATGAACCTGCAATGTTCCATTAATTAACCTATTTGAGCTTCATTATTATAATGTAATTGCATTGCAATTGTGAAAATAAGCATGCAATATTTTAAAAATGAATGTTTTGATAAATAAACTTATTTGATGTTCATCAATATAATGATGTACTTGTTAGTATTGCGAAAATGAACTTACAATATTTTAAAAATGAATATCTAATGTATTCAAAATAAATCAGTGGTTAGTGACTTAATGTAATTTTATGTTAATTTAAGACATAAAAAATCAATATGAATTTCATTTTAAAAATTTCAATTAGAATTTTTTAATGGTATTTTTAATTAATTTTATTTGTATAAAAAGAAAAAGGAAATAACAAATTTAAATCAAAAATAGAATTTAACTTAGTTATAAGGTCCATAATCTAGACATAATAATCTAATTAAGTTTATGTATTGTTGGGATTAATATTCTTAGCGCAAGTTTAGTTGTGGACGGGCTAATTAATTGTAGCTCGATAACTATAGGATTGACATGAGATTATTATGCTGTCCAACCGTGTGCACCATGCAAGGTGCACACGGAATTGGATTAATAATTTCTATACTATAGATTCATAATTTCTATACTATAAATTCATAATTTCTATACTGTAGATTCATAATTTCTAAACCGTAAATTCATAATTTCTAAACTGTATAGTTATTAAATTATAAACATATAGTTTTGTGATTTGTGAATACAGAGTTCAACAATTGAGAATATGAACATAAAAAATTATGAACATAGAGTTTTGTAATTGTGAATATAGAGTTCAATAATTATGAATATGAAGTTCAAAAATTATGAATATATAGCTTTATAATTATAAACATATAGTTCAGTAATTATGAACATAGAACAGTGTGCATCATGCATCGTGCACACGATTGCACACCATAATTTGCCATTGACATGTCGGAAGATTCAATCAAAGGGGAACTGAAAGCCCATGTCTGAAAGTAAACAAATGCCAAAATTAGGTT